TTTTTGAGTGCCTAAAATTCATTAGGACAGTAATTTTTCATCCAACCAGCCGTTGCAAATATTACAATCACTAACGGCTAATTCTCTTACTTTGTCGTACTTTTTCCTTTTTCCGCCTTTGCTTTAATGTGCCTTACTTTTGACGAATTTCAAATTCTGGTTAGTAGTTTAATGGCATTTAGCCTTACCTCATCTATTCAGCACCAGTTGCTTTTATGCCAACGACACCTGTTTATCTCCCCCATATTTTTAAGTTGCTTTAATGACACCTTCACCGAATAAATTTCCACCCCATAATTTGCATTCGTTGGATTCCAGTTAATTCCGCTACCAATTATGGAAGCATCCCTTTACCTACTAATAACTCCCATATGCAGAACTTTCTGGCCTCCGCGTTGACGAAGTACTCACAATTACAAAATCAGACAGGCTCTCATCTAAAGTATAGGGTGGTTTTTATTTAGGAATGACCCATTTAGCTCCACCATTATAAGAGCTGCTCATTTTGGCTATGAATGTCACAGATGCCTGAATATGAATTCCTTTTTTAAAAAAGCTAAAATCTAACTGGATCACCTATATAGCAGAAGATGCATTAGCATTTTGAGATTTGCATAATAAAAAAGTTACTGTTGAGAGAGGCAAAACATGAAACGAATTAGTTGTGCAATATTCATTAGGCTCCAATGCCCATAATGCCACCAGTTCATGCAAGTAAGCGCGACATATAAGTCATTTTTGAATTTTGACTTTTGATTATTTTCGTCAAACTAAATTTGCTTCTAATAACCAATCAGGGCTCCTATAATCTCTACCATGGTACTTGTAAGGTTGTTAATGTTATATAAAATTATGAATGTGACAGGCAATTAGTTTTATAAAAAATATTTATCAGTATTAGGCAACGATAATAAAGTCATAGGTTTTGTTTAGGTCTGTGGGCTTTTAGATTTTCTCTAACAAATAACTAACACCCTACGTATGACTCCAGAATATGTCAAATTTGCACCGAAATTATAATTTAGATGCAGTGAAATTTTACTTAGGTAGTCAATGTTGTAATAATCACCTGCTTGAAATAACAGGTGCGTATATGACGCCTCCGAGCAATCAAATAAAAGACAATGTCATGCCTAGAGTCGCGTTAGTGTTGCATTGTAATTAAACAGTTCATTTGGAAAGAGACGAAAAATTTGTTTGACGTATAGTGTTAGAGTAATCAGCAGTGCGATTGTCTGTCAAAAAAGGCTGAGTAAGTCATAGTTACCTGTTTTTAATCAAGGAATGTTTTTTTACCCTTATAGAGAGGATTTTTGTTGCAAAAATTGTACATTTTTAAGCCAATTGCACCGCTTGTCCAAATTGATACTTGTGTGTTGGCAGTCGATGCATAAATTATCGCAAATATGACAACGAAATTCGGGCACGAAAACAGAAGAATAACAGGTTTAGAAATGAGCAAAACAACGTACTGAATGTTCTTCATTGAATTAGGAAACGCTGCTACTTCAAATCATTCCTGTCAGATATATTTTTTGGCTTTAAAAAGTTTATAGTTATAATGTAATTAATGAGCATAATGATGTGTTCTGATTTAAATTTTGCGCTAAATGTATTATCCATGCAAAATTGCTTTGCC